TTTTTTTTTTTTTTTTTTTTTTTTTGCAGCTTCCCAAACTTCTTGTTCCTCTGTACATCTTGGTCATCCTTTTGGGCATTTTCTTTTTCTTTCATGTTAAAATCTTCATAGAGATTCTTTCTTCATTCACTTGTTAATTCTTAAAACATACCCATACCATCTTCTTATGTTGTTCGTTAATTTATATTGGAATTCTTTCTCATGTTCTTGTTTCTTATTCTCTCATTCATGGCTTTTCTTTCTAAGCTAATTAGGTAAAGTTGTCCCTGTGCTTAATTAATTAAGCACTATGTCATCAAGATGTGGAGGAGTGGAGGTATAGCTCCACCATTCTTGACCTTGGCACTAGACAGAGGTGAGTGGTCAGCTTCAGGACCTAGCCACTTTACCCCTGGGAAAGTTGTCCCAGGTACCCAATGGTTTTTATTTCAGTATGGCTCAAACATCTCATCTCAGCTGCTGCTAGTTTATTAACTGCTCTGTATGCCAAGCGTGGAGAGCAGGGCTCAGACATAGGAATTTTATGTCACACTTCACAGGAACTTTATTGACTTTTAGTCTCTCTCAGGCTCTTCCATGAAGGGCTAAATGGAAACATTTATAAAAGACACTTGTGCTTCTGTATGTCTCTAGGAGCCAGGAGCCAGGAAAGCATAGTTGGTATAGCAACTGAGCTGCAGGCTGACAGCCAATGAATCAGGGTTCAATTCCCGGCACGCTGTTAAGAGGTTTTCGCATCTTCACAGTAGGGCCCAGCCAGCTTCCTATCTAGTGGGTACCAGAGGCTCTTTCCCTAGGGGTGAATCAGTCATGAAACAGACCTCTCATCTCCATGCAGAGCTGAGCTGAGAATCCATGAATCTGTACAGCCATCAGCTTATATATCTTAATGGTGTGATGCTTAAATAAGCATAGGATTAGGTTTATCTTGTCCCCCCCCTTTTTTTTTGCTAGTGGTGTGGGACTAAGTCCCTTGTACTGGAGCCACTTCTGGCTTATTGTACCAGCCCCAAATGCTAGGTGAGGGTGATTATGGAGCAATTGGTGGAATGAAGGTTGGCAGGGGAAACCAAAATACTCTGAGAAAACCTGCCCCAGTGCCACTTTGTCCACCACAGATCCCACTTCACCAGACCCAGGGTCGAACCTGGGCCGCTGCAGTGGGAAGTCGTCGAGTAACCGCTTGAGCTATGGCGTGGCCATTATCTTGTCCAAGTACGCTGTGTTAATTTTTTTCTTTTGGCTTGTTTTGAAGTTGACCATCTTGAAGTATCACTGTGTTTGAGGAGTACTGTCCTCTGAGATGTAACATTGTATAGCCTGTAGAAAGTCAGCCAAAGTTTTGAGGAACATATTGCCTCCATCTTCAGGGTCAAAGAATAAGCTGAGTGAGAAACCAGCGTGAAAGCAGGTGGAGGCAATATGTTCCTCTGAAACGTCAATTGACTTTCAAGGGATTACACTGTGTTATATCCCAGAAGATAGTATCGTTCATAATGACTGCTGCAGAAACCGCAGATCCTGTGTTTCAATGAAATATTACGATCACAGGGAAAGACGGAAGTTACCTCTGGCAGCTGCCATATGCCCTAGTGTGGAGGGAGACATGGATCTAGCTGAGAGTGAATATGAGGATAGTAGTGAGGTTATGGGAAATGAACCCAAACTGGACGTCAAGGTAGAAACTTCACCTACTGAAGAAGACAAAGACCAACTGACTGTAAAGGAATCCAGTACAGAGGACATAATTTTGACAGACAGCTTCTCTTTGGAAGAGGAGGAGAAAGTTGTCAAGAAATCGCAGCAGCAGAAAAAGAAGAAGAAGAAGCAGAATAAGAGAACATCATTAACATCTCTACCAGAGGAAGTTGCCTCTAACAAAATACTTAAAAAATATTGGATCCGTCGGTATCAGCTGTTCTCAAAATTTGATGAGGGCATCAAACTCGATGAAGGTAAGGATTAATTCATTATCATCTTTCCCAGTATTGTTTGTGGTCCCAGACCGCGATTTTATAACAACAGGATGCAAAGAAAATAAAAATGTAAGAAAGTGGTGTCCATAATTATAATAATTTAAGTGCTAAATGGAATTCAGTGTTGGTATGTTGTGTAATGCACATTAAGTAGTAGTTCCTAGTGTTAGCTGCTACATTATTAGTGCATTATTCTCAAAATATTATTTCAACTCATATTGTGTTGTCTTAGTCTAAGCATTTACTTTCAGTAATAGTTTTCCTGTATTGCAGAAAGCTGGTTTTCAGTAACGCCAGAGCGCGTAGCAGAACACATTGCAGAGCGTTGTCGCTGTGACATTGTTGTGGACGCTTTTTGTGGTGCTGGTGGGAACTCTATTCAGTTTGCTTTCACATGTGCTCATGGTAAGTAGAGTGGTATACGTTGACCCTCTTAAAATGTGTTTTAGCTCAGGTCATTAGTCTCTCTTGCTTCTTACTGCGAAGAACTGGGCTAATTCGTAGGTGACATAAGATTTTCAGTGGATGAAGCAACACTGGAGCAGGTTTTTCTTCATGTTTCCTAAATTTGTCTGGCTAATCATTGTATTGAGCCGGTCACAGTAACCGAGCAGTCTAAGGCATGCACTGTCTTCGCTCGCTCGGAAGCCGGGATCTTGGGTTCGAATCCCACTCAGGGCATGGATGTTTGTGTGCATTTTTCTGTGTTTGTGTACAGGTAGAGGCCTTGCGACGAGCTGATCACCCACCCAAGGAGTCCTACTGTATGTCTAAGATCTAATAAACCGAAGTGAAACGGAGAGTTTCATTGAGGTAGGCCTAGGCCCAAATGAGGGCTGTAGTGCCAATGAAAAAAAAAATCATTGTGTTGAAGGTAAAGAAATGCCCATATAACTTCCTGGCTGTGTAGTGTCACTAGTTCATTGTGTTAGCCCACTAAGCTTATGAGCTACAAACTAAGGAATGCAGAAAGAATGGAGAGAGATATTTTTTTTTGTAAGAAAATATGAAAACCAAACTTTTTCCCACATCACTGAATGGTCAGCCAGCCAGGAAGTTTATGTAGTTAACAATGGTCAAGCTTTGTTCAAACTGAATAGAATGTTTTTGATGTCAGTTTATGGAAATTAAGTTTAGCTTAAGCAGTAGCGCTTCTCACTAGGGAAATTCCTGGTTTAAATATGATGGGAAACCATCCTTACAAACAGTTTTTGTGGTTTTCAGGGTCCCTAGAGTGATCATCATAATAGTAACTTGAAATATACCATGACCACTTTGTCAGTCCTTTCATGTTCACAGGATATGATCATCCTTTCATAACATCTGATGCTAAATAACCACTGCAGTTAATATAGTATTGTTAAATAATGTGTTATCCATCCTTCCATGAACGTTAATATTTGTAATGCTTCGAACCTTCAGAACCATTTTCCAGTGCTTCAGCATTCTTCATTCTTACAGTGGTTCATAATTATGGTATGAGTGAAATATTCTGTTACTTTGGTAAAGAATTGAACCCAGATATCAGAAAGATAGTTGATTGTGATAAAAACATCTCTACTGTCCTTTTATGAGATTTGAGGTCCCTATAGCAGTGACAGCAAGGAACTATATCTAAAACATCTTCGAGATGTCGTCATCAGAAAGTTAGTACATTCTATTTTCAACACACGATATGAAGCAGAATCGCTATATCAGAGGGCTTGTTGAATGCTCAGAGGTTTTTCTTCTGCAGTGTTGCCAGCTGAAGGTATGATGTACCCCCAGAGGTGTTTTAGGTGGACAGTATGAAGACTTGAATTTGAGGTTCTCACGGCTGTGACAGTGATGAGTGTGTTCCTCTGGTTTCTAACACCATGTAGTCCAGAGAGAGCCCAACATTTTGGAGGTGTTATGTTCCTGAAAAGACTGCCCCTGTAGTCTAGTGGGCAGAGTTCCTGCCTACAGATCCAGAGGTCTCGGGTTCGATTTCCGGTACTACCACATTTTCTGAGACGTAGTGGGTCTGAAATGGGGTCCACTCAGCCTCGTGATGATAATTAATGAGCTATTTGAAGGAAATAGTGGATCAGGTCTGGAAAACCGAGATTAACAGATGTGGGTATCCATTGTGCTGACCACATGACATCCTCTATCTGCAGAAGTTGGCACTAACTTCGCCAACAAACAGCAGTTGCTCGGTCAGTATAGTTTGCTTTCAGACTACAGGCCATGGAGTTATGTTCCTGCAAAACATTGTTTTCTCTGTGAACTACACAACATTACAACTCAGAAGACTATACTGTACATATTGAAGATTACCGTCTTCTGATATGTGACACTGTGGGATCTGGTAGATACTGACCAGTGTTTCAAAGTAACCTGGTGCTTCCATCTGCAGTACAGAAAACTTCACACCTCAAAAGGCAGTAATTATCAGTGTCTGTTATATTAATAAATGTATATTGTACCAAATGACATATTCATATAACTACATATTCATTTCATTTCAGTAATAGCAATAGACATCGACCCAAAGAAAATAGCTCTTGCCCGTCACAATGCCGATGTGTATGGAGTCGCTGACCGCATAGAATTTGTGGTGGGAGACTTCTTGAGTCTGGCTCCTTCTCTACAGGCCGATGTCGTGTTCCTTGCCCCACCATGGGGAGGACCCCAGTATCTGAATGTTGATGCCTACAGTATTGAAAGTATTATGCAACCTGTCGGAGGCGCACAGCTGTTCAAGATTTCACTGGGCATCACAGAGAACATTGCATATTATGTTCCTCGGAATATCAACACAGACCAGGCAAGTGGGGCAATGTCATGTGTATCCGTTTCCATGTTTCTAAGATTAAATGTGGGCAGATAGATGAATATTCCATCAGCCAGTTTTGATGCAGTGGTTTTTAGAGTATACAGTAAAATTTATAAGGAAAATGCAATTTTGAGATGTTCATGACAGTGGGAATTCAAGTCTTAGTGTTCTGGGTCTTGACACTGTGTGGTGGGCAGTCGCCGTCATTCACAGAGAACATACTACATTCATCAGCCAGGGTAGATGGGCACACAGATTCAGTTTGGACTGGCAGACCAAGACATTATATATACATACTTCAGTAAATCATTAAGCAGGTGGAATGTGAGCTTATGCATGGTGCTCTAGCCCAAAGCCTTGGAGGATAGACTAAAAAAGAGGGGTGTAGAGGAAGGGAATAGGAAGGAGACCCAGGCAAGGGCAGTAGTCCCCATGTCCTAAACAGTATATGGAACACTAGGCCTGACAGCCTGGTTCAAGAATCCCATCATGGGAAGTCCTATAAAGGAGGCTTCCTGTATTCTTTCCGCAAGTACATAAGAGATTTCTATGACTTGCTTAGGCAGACGCCATCCTTCCTGTGTGTGAATTTTTTATTTGTAAAAATGTGTACTGTAAAATATCCCTGTGCTTAATAAATTAAGCATGATGCCATGAAGACATACAGAGGAGTGGATGTATAGATCCACATTTTCTTGACCTCAACACTAGTTGAATGGTCAGCTTCACAACCTGGCCAATTCACTTCTGGGGAAAGTGTCCCCAGTACCCATTGAACAGAAAACTGGGTGGGCCCCAGAGCCAGCCTGGATGATGTGGAGAAGAGAAAATTCTACCAGGAGTCAAACTCTGACCCTTCAGTCATCCAGCCTGTAGTCAGTCGCTGATCCAGCTCCATTGCACCATGTACACTGTGTCTAAAATATCTTTCAGGGTGCATCATCAGTAGATACATGCAGTTGGTTACTGGATTCTGTTTTCAGCATAATGATAGGAACAAAAATTGCCATATTAGTGATTGTGTAAAGCAAATACGACTTCTCTTGGGTTCCCTACTCAAGATATTATATACCTTAAGTGATGTTTTAGCAAAATATAACATAATGCTTATCTTATACAATTCACCGAGTTTTGAGCAAACAGTTTCCAGTTCAGTGAACAAGAGTGGTATATTATTTGCAGTTGGTGGTACTTGCTGGACCAGGAGGACAAGTGGAAATAGAACAGAATTTCTTAGACAAGAGGTTGGTTGCAGTAACAGCATATTATGGAGAATTAATTCATGAGTAAGTATAGGATGAAGAACTGGGTAAAACTCATTTCATGTGTTAGAATTAATCTGATGGCATATCTTGGAACAAAATCCTACATCTTGCATACATTTTATTATTTATTGATAACGATATTAGCTTCACGTATTTCACAGGTTATGCAATGCCACACTGTTTGCATAAATGTGACTTAATTGGCGTGTATTCATCATTGTCATTTACTGCTTTTTTATGTATCATTTATTTCTTTTATAGTCAAATATATATGTAATTTTAATAAAAAATCATGTATTAAAACCGTTCTGTCTCCAGTTTATGTACCTTCCATTCGGGTGAGGTTCATCTTCTCGGTAACTACTTCCCATTATGACCCTGGTGTTTGATTCAAGGTTTTAGAAAGTTGATCCTGTGATTAAGCACCATGCCATAAAGTCATGTAGGAGAGCAGAGGGAAGGAAGACAACAAATCAAAATCTGATTAAGAGGAGACTGAACTCTGGTAATGCTTGCTACCATTCAGTCCAGAACCTTTTGTCTTATTGTCTGCTGTCCAGAAACATCAAAATTAGAATATACAAAACTATAATTTTGCCTGTGATTCTGTATGGGTGTGAAACTAGGAACATTAAGGAACATAGACTGAGGGTGTTGAAAATATTTGGACCCCAGAGCCGGTCTGGACAGCATGGAGAAGAACAAATTCTTGACCCTATCAGGACTCAAATTCTGGCCCCTTGGTCATCCAGTGCCAATCACTATCCCGTCTCCATAAAGGTTGGTTGAAAGTAGGAAATTAAAAAAATGAAAACATGGGGTGACTTTTAGTAGAATAATGTTTATACTAAGTTCCGTGAAAGCGGCCTCTGTAGTCTAGAGGTAACGTTCCCACCTCATGACTCGTAGTACGCGGGTTCAAATACCCGGCGGAGGTCGTCAAATTTTTAAGGGCGGAAAAATTCAGGGAACAAGTCCTCCGGGAGGGACTTTAAGCTGTGTGTCCCATGTCTTACCTTTACGGCACGTAAAAGGACTTCATATCCCCAAAGGGGATCATTGAGCCAAATTCCAGGACGTTTCCCACCCAACAATAGCCTCTAAGGCCTCTGATAGATGGGGGAAGCATTATAGACACCGCTAAGCAAGTGGCCGAACTCGCTTGCTCGGCGGGACTGATGGTACGCACGATTTATCGGTAGGGTAAAGAGACTGGTAGAATATCATAGAGGGAAGCACAATAGATCAAACTGGTCATGGTGCATGGGGAAACCCACCCTCTCTAAATAACTAACTAACTAAGTTTCGTGAAAATTTTGTCACGTGGCTCTAAACTTATCAGGAGCCATACGTATCAACACATGACAAGCCCTCTTATATAATAAAGTGGGATAAAATGGTAGATGCATAATGTTTAGGAATTGCAACCTATGAACAACACCTCTCAAAGTTAATCAGATTTATTTTGTTTCATCATAATTTTTACATGTGCAATTACCGAAGCTTCTTGTACAGAATGTCTCATGACTCTGCCATAATTTTTGGACGTGATTCCCAAGATAATTCTAAGTGAAAAGTGTTACACCAGTATTGGACCTATTCTCAAAGATATGCGGCTGTGGGTACTTGTACTGCAGGCATGGATGTGTTAATACAAGCCAGTCCACCATTAGCACATGAGCTAGCAAACAGTGTAGTCAAGTTGGCCACCATGTTCACCAAACTCAAGATGAATATGTCAGCATTTTTTGTGATGTTGAAAACGCTCAGTTCTGCATATGGTTAACATATCCTAGTGAAATAATCCAAGCCAATGCCAGATATTTTGTGCAAGTACTCTGAGCCATTCATTCCATACAATGGAATAATTTTACTCTTTCTTCCATAAAGATCTGCACATCCCACTACATTTCAAATATCCATAACTCCAAAACCTTTGAAATCAGGAGCATGCTACCATAACATTTTTCAGATGGTCAACACCAGGAATGTCATGGGACACATGGAGCATTTACATTGCTATGTTACCGATGTCAGTGCGGCAGTACCAAATGATTTCCTTCACAAATGTGGCACAAATTTTCCCGATATATTCCACAAGATCCTGTCTCAAGATTACTTTCATTGGTTGCATCCTGTTGTGTCTCAGACAATATATAATATGTAGGAACTACGCTACCATCAACACAAATATTTCAGTATTCCATTTAGATCTTTATTTACTACATGTTTCGGTCATATATGACCATCATCAGGCAGGAATACGTATAGTTATTGAAAATACCAATAAGGCATGCCTGATGATGGTCATGTATTACCTAATCAACAGCTGTCAGTATATAAACACATACAGCACTTGAAGAAACATCATTTACTCTGAAAATCTTTATAATCTTTGGACAGCACAACTCCACACTTAAAATTAGTTTCTACACTGTCAAATAGAGATTGCTCACAATTAAATGTGCAATAATCATGTGTAAACTCAAAAGAGGAATGCAAACGTTTGACATGCCACACTCAAAACAATCATTCATTATGGTAAGAACCGAGTAATCACGTTTGTCCTGGAGCATTTTAAAGACACAGGCAATACAATGCTGCAACAGCCAAGAAACTGGTCTTTAAATGTTCACGTTTTCACAATAACTCAATCTTTCATTTCTCCTTCTTCATCTTCTTCTTCTACACCACGAATATACAAGACATTGTTACACCTGATTAATACTTCTCCTAAATTTCCTGTTGGCGATGCATCAATATATTCTTCTGTATTGGCTAATTGGAGATTCATGTAGCCATCTACCGATATCAAGAATCCTTTATATTCGTGGCCCCATTTCAGTTTTACCATTACCGGTTTCCCAACAAGACTGTTGAGAAAAGGTTTGGGGTTTATTGGCATTGCCGTCGACATCTTGTTATCCTGTAAAATTTACATTACATTTGAATTAACATAAGAAACCCTCGCCACTAAAAAGACGACAAAATATAATAACCGTTAATATACGCTATTAAACTGTACCTTATAACCAAACAGTCAACTTCTTTTGACAAAAACCACGCTACTAACCGAATGTTGCGACTCGAGCTGTTCAGTTGTTTCAGTGTATGCATCTTGTGTGTAAAAATAGTTACCATAAGTGTGATTTTTGTCGAGTTGCTTTTACTGTACCTAACGGAAAATACTGGTCTGCAGTATTCTAATTGTATCCTTAATAACATTAAGTCAATATATGCGCTCCTAAGTATGATGCAAATTAATTTTATATATTGTTGCACAAACATTGAGAGAAATTTCGTCTTATACGAAACAAGCGTACGGTTTCTCTCTGGAAACCATTATGCGGTTCGAATTAGAAGGCTGTGGGAGGGCAAGCAGTAGGCCGAAGCTGGGGAGCAAAGTTGTATGTTGCGCTCGTGACGACAGAGTAGCCAAGAGTAGCTATTGGTGACTATGTAGCCAGCCTTGGCTGCTGGTAGCATAGAGTTTGCCTTTTAATGCTACGAAGTAGTATTAATACAAATTAAAATGCTTTCAAGTATTAGAAACGTGAGTTATATATTAGTAAGTGCGGTAAGAAGGTTTTACGAATGTTAAATTTTTGTATTCTTGGAATATAAGTCTATTTCAATAACACCTCAAGGGTGTTGTACTGTTTTCCCAGGTTTTCAGCTATGCATAGTTACAGTGTATAGTTGTCTTAGAAGGCCCGTGTTGTTAAAAAGAAATAAAGCATGCCTTTGTGACACTTTTTTTTTTAATAAATTGTCTGCATAGACGTAAGAATGAAGGGATGAAATGACACTTCTTGTAATCAGGGACACTGAAACATAATTTTTACCAGTCAAGCACTGTACTGAAACTAATGTAACTTTTCCTTTGCATAGCTACGAAAGGCAAATGCAAGAAATCTGCAAACTACATATTGTGCCCTGAGTGACAGTTTATTTGTGGTAAGTGCATATATTTAACCCACAAGTTTCCACGTGAAAACTAATAAAGAAAATTTTTATATTGACCTAGTTAAAAATGTGTTTGAATTTTTTTACAGCACAGAGACACAAAAGACAACAATCCCGATGTACACTTTGAATTTACACCAGAGAATTTGAAGGTAGGGGAATAATTATTTAACGATTAAACAGATTGTTTTTAATGGTAGTAGCTAGATAAACTTCCTTGATTTTTATTATCAGAAGACCCATGTGCCTTTTGCCATAAAATCATTATACTTGTCATTAAATTATATGAAACTTTTATTTATTATTTCAGTGTTAGTTCATTGTTTTTGCTAATATTGTGTCCATTGTCAGTGGTACTGTAACTTCATATCAGAAATAGTATCATATTATCCCATGTTACAGCGTGCAGAAGCCATCATGGCTATATATCCAGAGGGACACAAAAGGGCAGCAGTTATTCCTCTCCTTGACTTGGCTCAGAGACAACATGGATGGCTTCCAATTACCGCAATGCACAAAGTGGCCGAAATCCTCGATATGCCCAGGATGCGAGTGTATGAAGTCGCAACTTTCTACACCATGTTCAACAGGTATGGGCTGCGCATGTAAGGTTTCAGTCTAATGAAGGTGGATCTTTGTGTTAATTAAAATGCAGTAAAATACTTGATGAAAAAGTTAATACAGAAGAAACAAAGTACAGTGTCCAGTATGTAGTGGGGATGGGGTGTGCTAGTTACATTAATTTTCTGGTTCTACAATAAAACTCATACAGAAACCCAATATGGAATCAGAACAACACATTTTCATGTTATTTCTTACATGGGGTGGCACGCAGTAGCATAGTTGGTTGAGGCACTGTGCTACAAGCCGGAAGGTCGCGGGTTCAAATCCTGATTAGGTCATTGAATTTTTTTCAATTGACCTAATCCTTCCAGCACTTAAGTCTGACAACCTTACCGCTATCTTTGAGCCGATTGTCTAGAGATAATGTGGGAGCCTTGACGTCTCACAACCCTATGGGCCTTCACGGCCTGTTACAGGGATAGCTTTACTTTAACTTTACTTTTTACTTCTTACATGGAGATTACCAGATTTTCTGAGAAGTAGTGGGTCTGAAACAGGATCCACTCAGCCTTGTGAAGATAACCGGGGAGCTATTTCAAGAAAATAGCTACTCCAGTCTAGAAAACTGAGATTAGCAGCCGTGGGAATTTGTTGCGCTGACCACACTACACCCTCTATCTGCTAAAGTTGGCACTAACTTCACCAACAGTGAGCAGCCACTTGGCCGGTAGAGTTCGCTTGTGGACTACAGGCCACAGTGTTTGTTTGTTTTTGAACACAACACTCATCACATACATTCCTAATGATGGAGACAGTTTCTGAACACTTGACACCAACTGCACACTGACATGTCTAATCACCCAGGAAGGATTCATCATATACTCTCTCCATAAAAGTTAGAAGTCGTGTATAAGTTAGCACTTTTGTGTTGTTACAGAAACCCAACAGGCAAATACCACGTGCAGGTATGTACCACAACTCCATGCTGGCTCAGAGGTTCAGATGACATCATGAACTGCATCAAGAAAAAGCTGAATATTAAGCCAGGAGAGATAAGTGCTGACGGACTGTTCTCTCTGTCCGAAGTGGAATGTCTTGGAGCTTGTGTCAATGCCCCAATGATTCAAGTCAATGATGACTATTTTGTAAGTTTATCATCATGCCTCTTTAAGTTTTTAAGCACTGTCACTCACCTGTTTCATCTGTTGGGCTGGCTAATTTTGATTCTAATGGATTCTGATGGTGTGTGTGTCTGTTTTTTGAAGTTCTTCCATTGTCCGGTATTCTAGAAAATAGAAAACATGACGTTTCAGAAACTAGATCTCTTTCCACCCTCAGGTGTGGGGGGAAGATGCCTACTCAGTTGGGAGAGTCATTCTGTAATAGTGGGACTATACATATACAGTGGAACTCAATTTAATGTTCCTCAATTTAAGGTTTTCCCTCATTCAGCATTCCATTTCAATGACCCTAAGTCAGTAGTTTCATAGTTAAATTATTTCAGTTAAGTTCAGTATTTCAGTTCTCCAGGTATAATTAGAATGATTAAATCAAGGAGGATGAGATGGGCAGGGCATGTGTCACAAATGGGGGAGAAAAGGAATGCATATACGATATTGGTGGGAAAGCCAGAAGGAAGGAGACCACTGGGAAGACCAAGTCATTGGTGGGTGGACAATATTAAGATGGATCTCGGAGAGATAGGATGGGATGGTATGGATTGGATTGATCTGGCTCAAGATATGGACCAGTGGAGGGCTCTTGTGAACACGGTAATGAACCTTTGGGTCCCATAAAATGTTGGGAAATTCTTGAGTAGGTGCAGAATTGGTGGCTCCTCAAGAAGGGCTCAGTTCCATGAGTAAGTAAGTTAGTAAGTGTTCAAATCCACTGCTCCAAAAAGAAACCTTCATAGGGGATTCATTGTACTAGAAGAAATCACACAAAGAAATGGACTTCCAGCTATTTATTTATTAGTTTATGATTCCTACTAATGCGTCTGTACGAGGGGGTACCCAAAAGAAACCGAAATTATTTTTTTTTAACTTATTTATTCAAATTTTAAGCACAAACCTTCAATCTCCTTCAAAGTACTCTCCACTTACACTAATACACTTGTCTAGTCTTTTATTCCATTTTTCAAAACATTGTTTAAATTCATCTATTGAGATGCTTGACAGCGCCTCCATCGTTTTTTCCTTTCATGTCTCTTTTCATTCGAGGAAACAAAAAAAAGTCGCATGGGGCAAGGTCGGGTGAGTATGGAGGGTGAGGAACGGGGGTCATACCATTTTTGGTCAAGAATTGTCGTACAGACAGGGCTGTGTGAGCAGGGGCATTGTCATCCGACTGCGACAAATATGGCCGCTGAGCTCCAAGTCACTCCCAACAGCTCCACAATTTCTTCAATGGTCCGTCGTCAATCTTCCTTGATGATTTCACGAATTTTTTCAACATTTTCATGTGTTCGGGCCGTGGAAGGGCGACCAGAACGAGGTTTGTCATCAATTGACATTTCACCATTTTTGAACTGGGAAAACCACTCAAACACTTGAGTTTTCCCCATAGCATCGTCCTTATATGCCGTTTTTAACATTTCAAGAGTTTTTGTTCCACTTTCCCGAGCAAAAAGCAGAATTTCACCGCCGCACGCTGTTCACGAAAATCAGCCATTGCAAAAACGACGATCACACAAAACAGTTGTCACTATAAACTCTGCCGAAACTAGTCCTTACCTCCTGAAGCAATGGTAGTCGGCTTATCGACTCAGGAATGTTAGCTCTATGTGCTCAGAGCGGCAAAACGCGGTACTACAAAATCTCTGCCCACCAAAAAATTAGTTCATTTTATTTTGGGTACCCCATCGTATGTAAGCATTTGAAGGAAAGTGTATAACACAAGTTATCTTCACATCTTGAGAAGACTTCTGATCCTTTCTGCTAATGGTTTTTCCTTTTTAGGAGGATTTGACAGTGAAAGATACTGAAGAAATCCTGGAAGACTTGAAGAATGACAGAGTACCCAAAGCAGGTCCAAGGTATGATGTTAGATTGAAACTAGCTTCCAGTCACAGGTCTTACATATATTCTTCTAATCCTGTACATGTTTGGTATCCTTCCAGATTATGCTGGATGCATATCTAGCAAAACATTTGTTGCAATAAAATGATGATAAAATGACAAATTTATAAACCATACTAGTGTCCCAGGTGATTGTTTTTAGGACATCCTGTGTATTATTCCCTGTCTAGCCCCACATGCATATAAATATATGGTAAAAAAAAGGTAAAGTTGTCCCTGTGCTTAACTAATTCAGCACTATGCCATGAAGGCGTATGGGAGAGTGGATGTATAGATCCACATATTCTTTACCTCAGCACTAGCTGGAGGTGAGTGGTCAGCGTCACGCCCCGGTGGCTTTACCCCTGGGGAAAGAGCCCCTGGTACCCATTGGATAGAAGGCTGGGTGGACCAAAAGCCAGTCTGGACTAGGTGGAGAAGAGAAAATTCTTGACCTACCGGGACCGCCCTCAGAGGCGTTCTAAACAGGCAATATTAATACTGATGTGGGATTTGACACCATGTAGTCTTTTAATTGGTTCTGAATGTTTCAGAGGAACAAACTATCTGCAGCTTGAGAGCTGGTGGCATATTCATGCAAAATGGTAGTCATCTGTCATACTGCATAGCATCATATCCTGAAGAGTTTACTCTTAATGTTTCACGTTTTTGTTGCAGAAGTGGACGCTTTGCATCTGAACCATCAGGTGGGCTGACTAGTCTAAAGGGAGAACCACCAGGACCAGGGTTTGGTGTGCGATCAGATCTGTAATAAACAGAATGTGTTAGTTTCAATAAAAATTGTGATGTTATTCATTCTTTACATCTCTTTCAGTTAGCATTTAAGCAGATAATTAATGTATTTATTCTACAATGGCTAACATGATGTTTCATTAATACAGAATGTTCACTGAAACTGCTTTTTCCTCTTATTTATTCTTCAGCTATGAATAGGATATTGTCGCTTATTTCAAAATGTATGCTTTAGAATATTTTTCTAATTCCTTTAGTTCTGATCTTTTGGTCTTTCTGACCACTGCCTTCCTGATGAAATGACTGTTATTTCTCCTGTCCATGTGGCACAAATCAGGTGAATGTTGTGTGGTTGCATAAGGATTAAATGGAGAAAATTTCATGCTAAAGAACATCATAATGTGTACTGTTCGCATATTAGTAGGTGATATCAGATTGAGAATGATGAACTGGGCAAGACACATATCACACATGGAGAAAATGAGAAATTGAAACCTATTGACACCTGTGATTGGTCTGAGAAATACTTCTATGCTCCCACTTATTACTAATATATGATTACATACAGTTTTTCTTCTTTTGATAGCCCAATGGTTTTACATATTACTTTAATTCAATTAAAGTTTGAATATGCTCCTGTCACCTTGAATAATCTTATTTTGGCAGATTCCAGTAAACAGGAAAATACAGAAATGAAAATTACATTCAATTTATTGAGTCTGACTCTCCTCATAGTAGTGATTCAATTTTGAGTTGTGTAAACTTTAAAACACTCTGTTGCTGGCGATGACCTCTCAGTGCTTTATTTCCTACCACTACTTTTAAAGACAGAGACACAGTTGTTCTCCACGTACCCACTAAGCTAATTAGAAACTTTTAATGCGGCTGCTTCAGGGTAATGCTTCAGTAAGATATGCCACAACTATAATAATCTACTAATTTTTAGATTCTCTTAATAATAATTTGATATCCCTGAGGATCCTTTTTCATTTATCATTCCTATTTAATAAATTGATACTATTAACTTGTTCTTCTCTTCCTCGAGGACTGTCACCTGATTGTGGAGATGAGGTTTGTGTGCCCCAATGTCATGGAGAGGTATGCTGATGGGAGTGTATAATCGTGATAAGGCCACCCATGCCAAACAAAGCATAGTCCTTGGTCCTCCAGGTTGTGGGTTGGACATGGGGCTAATGACCCCACCCCAGAAACATTTACTGTTATGAAATCCTGGATAAGGCCAAGACCCACACAGGGTTGTAGTGACACTAAAGAAGAACTTGTCCTTTTAATTTTTCTATAAAAGATATGAACTCTGTCCAGTGGGAAGACTACTGTCTTCTGGAGTATGATGCCCTGTAGTCTGGTAGATCACCTATGTTGCAGAGGAATGTACTGCCTCCATCATCAAAGATGAATAGTAAGCCGTACTCCTCAACCAAGCAGACAGAGACACTATATTCCTCCGAAACATCAATAAACATTTACTGGACTGTATGATGTCACATTCTAGAAAACATACTCTTCACAGTCATTACTGTGAGAACCTCAAATCTCACAGTTTATGAGTAGTTCCAATTTGAGGCATAGATGATTTTAGGAATGAAATGGAGAGAACTTGGATTGGTTTCAGTGTCATTTTCGGATCTGAAGCCTTCCTCGACCTTATTAAGCCAATCATGAACATCACTCAGGTCAGCTCCAATTACTCCATGAAAATCTTCTATGTCTTCAAGATCAAACTCTTGTTCTTTATTGCTAATGAGTGTATTCCATGCATGTTTGGGTGTTTTTAATTTCACGGTTAGTTTCTGGTCCAATTGTAAATTAGACTTATGTTGTATTCTTTCAGCCTCTTTAGTATTTTCTGTCGCTACTGTTGTCCAGATTATTGCGAATTTCAAATTAGGTTTCACTATACGTTTACATTTATTTTCACTTCATGGATCCAATCATCTCCTTGTAGGGCTGGATATAAAACATTTTACACATTACAAATTCATGATGACTGCACATCATACGTCCTTGGTCCAATAAAATATATAATCAGGCCTCATGCAGACAGCACAAGTTGTCAAGACAACACACACTGGCAAGCCATATCATCAATACAGTTTCATTATAACATATTAAAATTCATAACAAACACAGACAACATACATACTGCCACACTTACAGCAAGCAAGTCTCAACAATGTATAATACAAGCACACAGACCATTTATTAACTCTTAATATTTGAGCCTCTTGCATGCTTGACAAGTTCGTCAATAGAGTAAAATGAGTTACTATAAGATTATGGTTTATAAATATAAATATTAAAAGCACTGCTCAGCATAAACTCGTGAGATACTAGATAACTGCAAGGCATTGTATGGATTCAAACCAGAGTATCATGAAGATCGAACTTTCTGGATCGTTCTGGGTATTATAATTTGACATCACATGCAGACTGATTTTGGAAGAAACTTGAACTTCATGGTTACCAAAAACCGAAATAAATAAGAATTCCTATTCACGTAGGTCTAGTTCAGAAAGTTTGAGTGATAACACTTTGAAAGTAATATATGCCAGAAATAACGATTTTTAATGCAAAATATTACAGAAACTTCAGTGCAGAACTAAAATACGTGCCATTTAATACTGAAACATGAAGATGGTAATACTCTTAGTACTATTCATAGTCACCGCCATAAAAAAATATTACATTCAACAGAACTACAGGAGTTTCAAATGTGTCTGTGACTTAAATTCACAGGATAGATAGACAATCACTGCAGTAATACAGTGGTATCTACGATAGGTCAGTGCAAGACTACATCATCTTTGATGCCAGCCACCAGTGTGAGAACCTAAAATGCAACAGAACGTCAAATTTGTCAAATTTTACAATCTACAGAACTACAGAAGTCAGCGGAGTACTGCTTCAAGCACAACGCAAAATAATTCTTGAGATATGATTTCCAAATCAGGTTCAATTAACGTCGCTTGAAACTAAGGAATTAATTTTCATTACACTACGCTTCAGTGCATTCGATGAGACATTCTTTTGATTTTAGAATAATGATTAATTTCGGCATATAGTTAAATTAAGGCCACGCCATAGCTCAAGTGGTTAGTCGCTGGCTTCCCACCGGAACCCGGGTCTGGTTAAATGGGATTTGTGGTGGACAAAGTGGCGCTGGGGCGGGTTTTCTCCGAGTACTTCAGTTTCCCCTGCCGATCTTCATTCCACCAAATTCTCCATCATCATATTCACCCGGGGCAGGCTACAATAGGTCAATCAGTGGCCGCCGTGCCGAGTGGACCTAGTTGGACTCCACCCCCCACTAAGCGAATTAACAAAAAATAGATTAATATCATTCATGCAGTTTGTTTATATAGGGATCCGTAAGGATTTTTCAAAACCAAAAGGCTCCAAAACAAAAAAAAAACACTTGGAAAACAGTGAGTTGGCGTAAGCGTTATTTCTGAGTTTTGTAAAAAAAATGACCTGTGTATATTTCCCTTTGGTGAAATTTGTAATTATAAATTCAGAACAGCAAATCCGAAGGGAACTCGTGAATTTCAAGAACGGGGATTAGTTCGAAAACCAACAATTGTGCTTCCCGCTTGAACAGGTTAGCCGCGTTTATACGCCACAGAATCTCTTGGTTGCTCTTGGTTAGTACCACGAAATGTGTGTTATCTATGGTGTTGGTTATCCTGTCTGTTGCGTCTGTTAGATAGCGTCATTTTGTGCGACTTTTTCGTGCTTGTTTGGTGTTAGCGTCATTGAAGGAATTAGGAGTATAAATAAAAATGAGGCGCTTGTCCATGAAATCTAAGAAGGGAAAAGCTGAAAGCAGTGACAGTGAGGGTACACACGAAGATGAAGTAGAAAGTAGAGATGATGCCCCGAGCGAACACGAATCTGCCGCTGACGAGGGTGCAAAATTCAAATCCAAACGGAAAAGCAGGCATGCTAAAAAGAAAGGAAATAATGCGGGATCAGAGGATGGTGGTACAGAATCAAAGAAGAGGAAGCGAAGTGTTGCTGGTAATGAAAAAGCTGAGGCAGTAGAGTATGAGGTGGGTGAATATAATCGTCTTTTTTGTACAGAAAATTCCATTAAGGGCGTTCATATCTTGTACCCAAAAGAGCTAAGCAAAAGACTGTGTTATTCATCGATCATGAAATTTAGTTTTATAGGGTTGAAGTAGGTGCATTATTGATATATAATTGCGCGTGTGTGATAACGTCTCGTGACTGTTGGACCCCCCGAAGTTAACGCTGGAAGGATCGAAGCGGAAGGCATTGAAAGGCCCAAATCTTAATGATGTTGCGTAGTATAGTATGATTCGAGCCCTTACTGCCAATGAATTTCAATCGGATGTACCTAGCTTAGTCGGTAGAGTGACTGGCTATAGTCTGGATGGCTGGGGTTCGATCACCGGTAAGGACAAGAAATTTTTTCTCAACAGCGTCCAAACTGGGCCCCACCCAGCCTCCTATCCAGTATGTGTCAGGGTCTCCTTTTCCAGGAGTAAAGCAGACCACTCACCTAAATGTAGTACCAAGGGGGAGAATGGCGCTGTACCACTGCTCCCCATACATCATCATGGTGTGATGCTTGATTAAGTACAGTGTCAACTTTACTTACTTTTACTGTACTTTCGATATGTATGCCATTTAACCACTATCATCTTGAGAAGTAATAAGCTGTTGAATGACAGACAATATTATGTTGGGTGTCACTGCTCCGGCTTGTGCCATCAAGTTAACCCAATAATGTGATGGAGACATTTGAATCCAATAGATTTATTTTGTTATGTTGTCTTAGAAATTCCATTGTCTCTTGTCACCCTTGATGGGTCGTAAGGTTGAATAAAATATTGCCATGTGTTGGGTGTGTCACGCGACAAATAACTTCACATGGGTCTCGGATTCAGCGAATCTTTATTGGATACACACACTTATACACCGTACAAGTATTATCGCTTGTGGTATCACGTGGCTTCTGCGACGTCTCAGCTAGGTTCCAACTGTCTTGTATGAAGGCTAGATCTCGACTGTCGTCCTGTAGCTCTGTCACTCTCGACTTATGTAGGTGTTACGCGGACAGGATACGAGACACCATTCGCCAAGGCTCGATCTCACTTGTTCGGCAATCTGTTGCTTCAGGAACAATCTCTATAGGTTACGGCGGTAACGTGTTTCGTCTCATCTGTTGGTACTCAACGGCCTTCTGTCGTTCATCTCTGGGGAAACGTGTTCGTTGTTTCGGCATTGTCTACACAGTGGCCCACTGTTATTGCGTTGCCATGGAAGTATCTACTCCAAACACGTTACAGTATTTTGGTATACTTATGGCACCATGCATGTATTGCACCATTGCTAATGAGATTTCTATTAAAGATGAAATGGTAAAGTGATCTGTGTGCTTAATTAATCACTGCGCTGTTAAGATACATGGGGGAATGGAAGTATAACTCCACCATTCTTGACATCAGTACTAGATGGAGGTGCATGCTTATCTTCATGACCTGGCTGCTTTACTCCCCTGTGAAAGAGACCCCCATACCGATTTGGGGCCTCAGAGCTTGTCTTGAAGCTGTGAAGAAGAGAAAAATCTCCTGCCCTTGCTAGGAATCGAATCCTGGCCATCCATCCTCTAGCCTGTTGCTGTGCCGACAGTTATCATTGCTGTCATGAGACTCTTTATGAAAAATAAAACCCCACCCATTTTCAGTTTTGGCTGACATTTGCATCCTGATTCTTAACAGGGCTTACTGTTACCTTCATGATCGTGCAACAGTTGCAGGCACACGGTAATGTGGTTGGTTGAGGCACAGTACTACAAGCCAGAAGGTCACGGGTTTGTTTCAGTGTACCTAATCCTTCCAGCTGCACTATCGCCCTGGGTTCTCCTCAGCCTCTGACAGAAATGAGTACCAGGAATCTTCCTAGGGCAAAGGGCAGCCGGTGCGTAAGGCTGACAACCTCACCACCATCTGTGAGCTGATTGTCTAGAAAATGTGGTGGCCTCAACATCTCACAACCACATGGGCCTTCACGGCCTGTTACAGGGATAGCATAACTCCCCCCCTCCATGTACTGATTGGTTCTGAGACACATTCCTCTTCTTCAGTGGATATTGGAGGCTCTTTCCCATGGGGAAAGTGGCTGGGTTGATAACTGATCTCGGCACTAGTTGGAGGTGAGTGGTCGGCTTCATGCCCCTGCTGCTTTACCCCTGGGGAAAGAACCCTCTGTACCAACTGGCTAGAAGGCAGGGTGGGACCCAGAGCCAGTCTGGAGGATGTGGAGAAGGGAAAATTCTTGGCCCTACCGGAACTCGAACTCCAACTCCAACCCCTCAGTCATCGAGTGCATAGTCAGTTGCTATGCTGACTGCGCTATCCCGGGTCCCAAGACATGGCTTTCTTTGAAAAATACTAAAATGTTTTTATATATATGTATATAATCTCACTGCTTATTAAACACCAAATTTGGCAGATTGTAAAAGCTAGTACACTGTTGTTGCATTCTCTCGTGTGTAGCTTATGGTTAAGGTACCAGCATGAATATTCTACTTGGCTGGGCAGCATGGAGTCCTGGACATGAAACTGTAGAATGGACGCCATTTGGAAACGCCTGCATAGCAGTTAAGATTATGGTACTGGTTGTGATGATCACGTCATCGCCAGGCAGACACCGTGATGCTGTGTTCTGTTTGTAGGTGGAAAGCATTGAGGACATGAAGCAAAGCCAAGGGAAACGTCAGTTCAAGATCCGCTGGAAGGGATATGAGCCTGATAATGACACGTGGGAAAACGAGGAAGATCTCAGCTGTCCAAATCTTATTAAGAGCTTCCTAGAGAAAAACAGATCTGAAAGATCAAATGAGAGCAAAGTCGAGAAACAGGTGGGGAGGGGAGCTAACAGTAGGACCCCCAAGAAGACTAAGACTGAAGAGGCGAAGGGTAATGAAAGGGAGACTAATGATAGGGAATATGAGGTGAGTATTTGATCTTAAATTTGTAGGCGCAAGCATTCGGAACACTATTGTGGGTCCCAGATTCCAACAAAAGCAACACTGTGATACTTTCATGCTACTAGCTCCTTGTTTCTGCAACGTGTAGCGACTGTCTTCCGTGGAAAATATTTTGTTTATCATAAAAGTACTCTTAATTCACAAAAATGGTACAGGGCCAGATTTTTCATGTTTAATCCACAGGTATTTGTTCTTCATTCACTTTACATGTATCTAACTAGATGTGTTTTTGTAGTACTTATAACTGACTGTACTGTCTTCTTTGGCTCCATATTTCATGCTCAATTCTGGTTTCATCTTGTACACTGCCAAGCATTCATACACGTCTCTCTTTTATCCCTCCTTGTAGAGTCCATGAATATATGTTTGTATGATACTTCTTGTCGTCAGTTTATCCCTTTTGCATTACTTGCTATACAGAAGTTTTTCTTTCACGACCAGTGTATAACATGTAACCAATCATTACCTACCGGCATCATTCTTTAATATTGCCAGCCACAATATAAATTTTTAATTTCTGTAATACTTAGGACTGTACTAAAGGTGACTTAAACTCAAGTTTTGTTGTAACTATTCTGAGAATTTGTAGCAAGGAATGTTTAGATAAGGACTGCTGTAACTTGAGACAATCCTATGATAACCAGCCTGGTATGCGTATTAGTTACTCCCCCCACCAGCCAAACTAAAGAAACTTCCGGAACGTTCTTAATCTGTAGGACAGAGTGGAAGTTTCAAGAAAGATCTTGATGTGGAAGGTTCTGGCAGTATTCCGTCATTCGAGAGCATTTAAAGGTTGATCTTGGATGGAGCTGATTATTGTATTCATTGCTGAGTGTTGTGTATTACTAGCTAGTGGTGAAGAGTACAGTAGTGTAAGCAGTCTCCTATATCCAGAAGTATATATCAGCATTACAACAAAATTCAGCCTAAAGGGACTGGCTTGTGTAATATCTTGTAGTGCTGTTAAAATTAAATTAAGTTCGTTTCACTAGCAGAGTGTGGTCGAGTGACTTCTTCAGTGAACCCTCTCGTGTCAGAAAAAGGCCCATTAAGCCGAGTGGAATCCTTATGCTCACACCTTAACCATTATCCTTTTCCCATCCACACATCACTCCCAATAACTTTGACATGGTTTTAAGATCACGTGGCACTCAGCTTTGGACAAGGAGTGAGTGGGGGGACAAATGCAAAATAAAAATCAGACAAAAGTGGCCATCCATCGTGTGGCTAGTAGAGAGAGAGAGAGAGAGAGAAGACAGTTGGAAACATTCACTGATAATTTATTAGGAAATCTAATTTATTGTATAAGCTTGTGTATTGTTAACTTCCTGTGCCTTCTCCCATATTCCTTGCCAGTACTACATGTTACTGAATGATATGTGAAGGATGACATTTGACTCCCTCTCCACAAATAACATGGAGAGGTCAGTCGTAAATCATCATCATGCAGTATGGAACACTTCGCATATCCAGTACTCACAAAATAGACACAATACATTGAGACAAATGACTGCTTTCTTGTTCATGGCCGCCTGTGTGGCTTACGCTCCTGGAGCATGTTAATTATCAACAATGCATTGCTGTGGTAACCTGAAGTAGCATAATTTCAGAGCTTTCAAAGAATAAGGCAAATGTAAACAAGAGAAAAAAGTAGATATGGAGAAAGCAGGTGATGTCCCAGCCGCTTTTTCCCCAGTTACTGTGCTGTTTGGAAATTTTTATTCTCGTTACTCATCTTGGTTTGTTTAGGGCCCCTGTCTTGACGTTCCACCTCCCTGTGTCTACCTCTTTTTCCATGCTTGGCTTAGTCTTTTATCCTGAATATGGAGGCAGTAAGGTCACCAAAAACATTGGTATAGATCCGCCAGATTAGGTGGAAACACATCGCAGAAGTCAGTATTCTTCATAGTCATTGCCATGAGAGGCTCTAGTCTCGCAGCTTGTTCTTGTTATTTATTTAAATGCATCTGTTGTTAGAAGAAGTGCAATGTGATTTATTGTTTGTGCAGGTGGACAAAGTGATGGAGGTTCATTTCAAGAAGAATGGATCACGAGAATTTCTGATTCACTGGAAAGGGTTCTCTCACAAGGATGACACTTGGGAACCAGAGAAGAACCTCAATTGTCCAGATCTTATCGAGAAGTTCATGGAGAAGGTTAACAAGGCAAGTGAATCTGTACTGTGAGGGTACCAAAAGAATCCCTTCTTAATATTTGGAATATCTACATGCAGTCTCTCAAGAGAGTTTTCTTAGTTTTCTGTGGGGCGGGGGATTGTGATTGTCTGGTCATCAGTGGTAACTAAAAAAAAGATTTGCCTGATGGTGAATCTCATGCTCAACATTTGGCATTTTTCTTTTGTAGTTCCGGCAGTCTCGCTTAGTCATTTGTGGTTCAAGAGGTGGGAAGCAACATCCAAAGACATTAATAGAATAATTAATAAGACATAAGAACTAGTCTTTTAAGTTTAATTTTTCCCTGGTTTTGTTCACCTGACGTGCATTGTTCAGTGTAAACATTGTGAACAGGAAGAAGTTAATCTAGTCGGCTAAGCAGAAATAGCCACAGTATGGGGACAGAAAATACTGATCCACTTGTTTCTGGTGACAAAAATATTTGTCTGTGTACCAGAATTTCATAAATTTTGAACCCCTAGTTTTATCTAGCCTCCTGGAAAATGATAAAGAAACCAAATAATTTGCCATTGTCCCATCTTATTCTGCAGTCTCGATAAGTCTTGGAGCATCCCCATTGTTTTATAGCAGTAGGCTACAACCTTCACCCAGCTCGTTGCACTGCTTACGAGATCCAGTATTAGGTGTCCTGCCATGTGGCCTGCAATTCAGTTGAAGTCCATTTAAAATGACATAGAAACACTTCGTTTTTACTGTGCTATATTATATTTTCATAATTTAAATTATGAAAAATAAAGTAACCATGCTTTAACTTTGCATTTCTTTTTTTTTCATATGAAGTTTAGTGTATGCATTGAGGTACAAAAGTAACCACAGTTAATTACATATATAAATTCAGCTACTGTGAATTTCAGTTTGCTGTTACATATAGTTTTAGGGGCACAGGGTGTTTCTGAGTTACAAACATTTGGGTTACAGAAATTTTTGCATAAAATTCATGTTATTGACCATAAATTCTTCATGGAAATTTTATCTAAACATTATGTATTTAAAATGCACCTTCATCACTAAGGTAAAGGGATGGTTGATAGTGTTGTTACTATTCCAATTCTATTTTAGATTGTGCACATTATTACATTTTAACTTCACAAGACATTTCCAAGCACACATCACTTCTGTAATGTTGGTGTGGCATGTATTCTGTTCCAGATATGTTGTTAGGAAGGATATTTATGCGCTCTCTAATTTCAGTTTTTATATTCTCATCTGTATATGAAAACTTTATTTGTAATTAATGAAAAACAGGTAGTTACTATAGGATTCTGACGATGGTGTATAACACACTGATATATTGGGTTTTTGGACTTTATCCATCGTCCTGGTTTTTAAGATAAATAAAAACACGACGTCCAGCGATTGAGGCTAGCTCTTTCTAACGGACCCAACTGAATAGGTGTTTTCCTTCACCTGAGGACGGAAACAGATCCAGTTTCCGATACGTCGTGTTTTTATTTGTTATCTTAAAAAGCAGGACGATGGATAAAGTCCAAAAACCCAATATATCAATGAAAAACAGGTTTATGACATCAAGCTGAATTGATGTTCTTTTTAAAAATTTAATTTGAAATTGACAGTGTTTCAAATCAGGGACCTTAGAGTTTGTGGTGGCATTTTTGTTTCAAATTATAATTATTATATTTGTAATCACTGTTTCAGGAATTATGATATGTTTTACGAGAAGTCTGCATTTTGGCCTTGAAATATGTAGCAATCCTTGTTATCATGGATACATTCTTGTAAACTGCTGCATTATGTGAAATGACACTAACCAGATCCATTTGTAGCATAAACTTAAGAAATAATTAGGTTATGTTCCTCAGCCTTTTTTCATCCCTTTAACATGCATTACACTGTATGCAATATGAATGTGATTGTAAATACTTACATATTCTTGACTATAAATACATGCAATTATAAACTACAGTAATGTTTATTTAACATTTACTATGCTGTATTCACTGATGACAAAAGGTGAAGCCAGCATGTTGGTCTCATGAACATGAAACACTTTTTTTTTGGGGTGACCCTTCTTTTCAACCATCTTATTAAACTCTATGATGAACGACAACATAATGAGCTAACGTGACACTGTGTGGAGCCTTAGTATGAAAGCAGTCTCACCGTAATAATGAAACAGCATTACGTGAGGACTTACTGTACACTGTAGAAATATGACATAATTATCATTTGTAATATGTACAACAAAGCTGTTTTGGTAAACAGGCCAAGTCTTCAGCTGCACGTGAATTGAGGGCAAATCCACAACACACAGATCGGTTCACGTTGAATATGTCTCAGGCTGGACGGCGCCTAAGCCGACGGAATCAGGGGAAGCAGCGGTGAGTGGAGAACGCCCCCATTGAACAGCCAGATGGTCTATAAAACCGTATATAACCTTACATGAAGATTGCTATATTCCTATTGTCTGTGTGTTACTCATATCAAAATTATTTTGAACAGTTATTTTGTCACGTACAGATTTTTCTTGTTGCCCTTGAAGTCTGTTCTGATTGCTAAACAAAAATAGTTTGTGAATAAGAAATGTCAGAAAATATGGCTTAAAAGTTATATGAATGTCCAAGGAACCAAAACTTTCATTCTTGTAATCTGGTTGTTCTGTTCCATCTGCACAACTCTTAAGAATGTATACCCATTCAACTCTTTATTAATAATTGCTGCATGTTTCGACCATCCAACTGCTTGTTATCGGGTTGCAATTCAGACACTTGAAAGTATTGTCACATGTCACAGTTGACTAAAGACGGGGTTCGGATTGGTAATAGGATTTATTAACCACCTCCAGGTCATAAGTACAGTGGAACCTCGCTTAACGAGCATAATTCATTCCAGAATCTTACTCGTAATGCGAAACACTCGTTAAGCGAAACAATTTTTCCCATATAAATTAATGTAAAATACAATAATGCATTCCATGCCGGAAAAAATACTCAAAACATTTTATGTATAACGTTTATTCAAAGAAAATTATATATACATTGTTAAGGAGCATGAATCATCTTCATCTTTTCTTCTATGTGGAATGGACAAACCTGGAATGCGAATTCTGTTTGCAGAAAACAAAAAAGAAATTGAAATAATTAGTTTATTATTTATGATACATATCTAATTCTTTTTTACTAGAAAGCTGTCTAGAGACATTTGTTTTTGCCAACGCTTCAAAGTTTGGTGAAAATGTGACACAGCATTATCATTAAATAAATTTGTAGCGCGCATATCCACTGCCGTATTAGTGTGATGCTTCTCAGTGTACGATGCAACAGTTTCCCATGCTTTCAGCGTTTCTCTTATTGCGCCAGAAGATTGTTCCTTTGCTGTTACCTCCTCGTTCTCTGACAACCTCTCCTCCACAACTTCTTGCTGTGAAACACAATGCAACACCAAGTCGTGCAAATTGTTGATGTAGACCGATTGTGTGTGCTAGATCAACCATGCTCACACCTCGTTCTTGCTTTTCAGTGATTTTGCGGCTTTTTCTTCGGGAACATTTTTGAAAGGGTTATTAAACCTTGCACAAAAAAAATCACAAATAATATGTCTGAACGCAAGTTTGGAAAAATGTGTGATCACAAGCGACACTAAGATGCTAGCGGAACGAGTGCTAAACACAGACTGATGTAGCAAGCGCACAATCCGGGACTTCCCCATCTCGTCACTCGTCATGCGAAACGTCGCTCGTTAAGCGAGTCATTTTTTTACAATTTGTTTTGTTCGTGCGAAGTACTCATTATGAGAGGTGCTCGTTAAGCGAGGTTCCACTGTACCATTATTACACCATTGCTGCTTTACACAATTTACAATCACTCCACATTAATCTCTTCAGTTTATCTGCACAAGTCTTCATGGATTTATAGCACAGCTTCTCACGAAGGGCCCAGCTCCATGAAGTTAATCCATTGTCAAGAGTTTATTAAACGGTGGCTAGCATATATGTTGGCAGTTAATCATATTGCCCCTATTCCCGTTTAAATTAAATTTCTGATTGTTTCAATATGTACTATAAACAGTAGTTTGTACCTTGTGCTACATTTAGGAAATTGGTTCTGTTTTTGTCTTCAGGCCCCCTAAGTAGAGCTGGTCCATGGTTCAAGAGTTGCTCTGCGTAGGAACCTGACAGTAGGTTTTCTTGTTTACCTGAAGAAGGAAAGAGAACCGTTTTCCAAAGTAGTGGTTTTAATAAGCTCTCGCTGTTAAAAAAAAAAGTGCAAAATAATAGTTTAGATGAAACTATAAACTTTGAAGATACATATGTGTCTTAGTTTGGAGCTTGAATTTTTATATATTCATACATGCAATTCAAAAACCAACTAAGACAACTACTTTGACACAATTCATGTAAATTAGTGGTAATGTAATTTTTAAGACTTTTCACAGCTTCACCAGGCTTGTATGTGGAGGTAAGAGGAGCCTTCGTAGGCATTCATGTTCTGTAAGTGTAATATGGAGTGTTAGCTGAGATAGGGCATTTTATTTCTGGTTTGCCCCCCCATAAATAAGGATGCAGTAGCACATTTCCTTTCTTGCATTGAATAAACAGATATCAATGGTGGAGTATAATATATATATATATAAATAAAAAGAGAGAGAGTTGATTTGGCAACTGCCATGCACACTCACTGCATGGGTTGTTGACCTTCCTACATGGAATGAAAGTTCCCAAGCTCCTTGCATTATAGTACCTCTCAGGATTAATGTTGTCTGCATAGAGCCAACAGTCCATAGTCATTCTCATGCTTCTACGCCAGACACCAACTTTCACATTGTACAGTGGAGTTTGAGTGTGTTTACAGTGTGTTTGAGATATGCATTTCCTATGATGTGGTATCCATTATATTGTATCCTCATGGAAGTGGACCAGTAACCTTTGCTGTTTGATATTATTGCCGCAGTAAGAAAGGTGGCAACCCATGCAATAAAGCATGCTCTGAGAAAGATGGGGCATCAGCATAGCCACTAAATAATCTCATTTTATAATAACATATTATATTATAATTAGTAAGGTTGAAAATAGTGTGTGTTTGATATAAAGTCAGTTTGATCTCTTGTGTTTAGTGTTTCTTTCATATTTGATCTACAGAATTGATATCGTAGAGATGTGCGCCATTTTCCCTCCATATTCATTCTAACACAACGATTTATAACCTCTGGAAGCCCTCTGTAAGCTTACATTTATCATAACTGTCCTGATTAACAGCAAAATAAAATCTTAAAAGTAAACCTTGTTTCACTGCTTGTGTGGGATATATCCATTAAAAACTTATCCATTCCTCCAAATTGGTAGACATAACACATTTGCATGATGTGTGTTTAACCTACCTTGAGCTGCCATCTGAAGTACATTCTGAAAGAGTCTCAGTTGAGAATAAAAACAACTTTGATGCCAAAAGTGGTGTGACTGTTGTATGTTGAATATGTGACAGTGCTTTCCAAACAGGTTGGTTAGCAGAGAGATCTATATATATATCAATTATTGTGACCATAATTGCACTATACTGAGTACAACTTCTGGAATGTCAGAAATTTCTTCTGCACAATGCAGAATTTGCTAAATATAAAAGATATTGAATACATTGCTTATATTGAACAGGACAAATATGCACTGAACATGAGAACATTAAATTGGGAAGAACGTGGTCCTCTGGGTTGTGACACTGAGTAATTTGAACAAAGTCCAACATTTCATAACAGTGTAAGATTTGAGGCTTTCATGGCGGTGACTATGAAGAAAGCAGTCTTCTGGGATTTGGCACCGTGTATATGTGGTGTTAACAGACGTTTCGGAGGAACGTATCGCCTCCATCTTCAGGGTAGAAGAAAAAATATAAGAAATCTGCAAAGCAAAGAGACCGTGAGAACCGTGAGACACAGTCTGCTTTTACCGGTTCTCACGGTCTCTTCGCTTTGCAGATTTCTTATATTTTTTCTTTTACCCTGAAGATGGAGGCGATACGTTCCTCCGAAACGTCGGTTAACACCACATATACACGGTGCCAAATCCCAGAAGACTGCTTTCTTCATTTCATAACAAGCTCACTAGCTGCTTTGGCTGGTTTTTTGCTTGGCTTACACTTGTACCCTGAAGCAGGAGGCAGTATGTAACTCTGAAGTAACAGGCTGTCTCCAAACTGCATGACGTTACAACCCAGAAGACCGTGCTACTGTTCATAGTCATTGCTACCAAGCTGTCCAGACTGACCTTTTTTTGTGATTTGTCTTCAAGGCAAATGCTGGAATAGTACCTTACGTTACTCCTAGACTCCTTCGATCCACATCCATTCCAATGCGTTACTCACTAGTCCTCTCATTGGCAATTGAAAGCATTCTAAAATAAACCGAGGATAAATAATATTTATTTGTGCCCCTGCCATTGAGCCAGTAGAGCTGATTACCTAGGTTCTGCAAGACAGCTGTTTTCTTGCGTGGTCAGTGCTTAGCGACTGTGCAGTCCTGCAAGGTTTTGTCTGTATACAAGCTGCAGCATCCAGAATACATTGTGTGTTTCGCCTTTTTGCTGGTATACTAGATCTTTCATGTACCCCCTCAAAGAAAGTCTAGGGGCTTGAGGTCTGGGTGGCCAGTGTTATAGACCACCACAACTGATCCATTGACCAGGGGAACATGACGTACTACTGCATTCAATAATTTTCTGGGCTGTGGTTTTGTCGTACCATGTTACAAGATATATATCCACATCCTCCATCAAAATATTGGTCGTTGGCCACTATGCAAGTCTGCCAGCATTGGTATAGCACTGTCGATCAGGTCACTGCAAATGGTCATACAGTCATCATGTTGCTCTTTCATCAGGATGCGTGAACGCTGTACTGGCTAACACGAGACATGTTCAAGTCATCAGACAGAATTTTGTGGCAAGCACCATAGCTAATCCCTGCTGCTGCTGCTGTGATTTCATCTACCATCTGGGAGCAGTTGGCACACAGCAATGTTGCAACTTTTTTGGATCTTGAGTCCAGTTCTGACTGTTCTTGAGTGACCATTATGCTCATCTTCCAAACTGTCTCTCCACTGTGCAGAATGTTTGCGCCACTTAAATACAGCACTACAGCCCAAGGCTTCTTTGCCATATGCTTGCTTCATCTGAAACGTTTCACTAGTGGATTTGCTTAATTTTTGGCAACACTGGACATTTGCACATAGCTCAAACTGCAGCATTCTTGATTTCTGCCACTCGCAGACAACTACCCTTCACAACAGTGACTTTCTTTCTGAATACACCACACACATGCAACTGCTTCTTGCTGGGATGAGAAGAACGGACACAGCGCCATCTCATGGCTCCACATATCTGCTGCAGTGCATAGCAGTGCCACTCTGCTGCCAGTTGACAAAATTAGACTGTACTATGTACATCCAAACCATTCCTGAATTTCTGATGTCCACTGAAGCATAAATGTTGAGAAAAAGGACATCTGTTTACATCACATCTCTGACTTGGAGTGACCTTAGGTATGAACTCCTGATAATATGATGTTAAGCCACAAATCATAATGTATCATATCAGATGATAGGGAGGTAATGAATAATGGACTGAGGAAAATCCTGAAGAACCTCATTTGGGATACTGGGTATCCTGGCTGAGATGCGAATTGGGCACCCCCTGAATACGAGTTAAAATTGTTACTGATTGAGCTAAATTGCTCAGTAACAAGTTTCTTACTACCATAGTTCTCTCAAGCGTGGGCATCAAAGGAAACGGTTACTTTTGCAGTTAGAAGAGAACTTCAACAAATTGCATATTGAAGAGGAAATCTACACAAGGCTAATTCATTGTTGTCAGCATTAAAAAGAATATTAAAATACAGAGAAAAATTATAATATAAAATTTAAAGTGACAGGTGTGCACCAGGCTTGCAGCACAGGGATGAAAATTGCATCATCAGCACACAATGATACTTTCTGCGCTGGAGACTGCGTCAAACTGGAGATTGTTAACATAAGATAACCATATTCAGGAATGTGTCACTGTGTAGTTTGGTAGATGTTTACTGACATTTCAGGTGAATGTACCGGCTCCATTTTCAGGGTAAAAGTGAGCTGAGCATGAAAAAAGTAGCAGTGGTACTGTTTCCCTCCCAGATATGATAATGAAGTAAACAGGAAGTTACATTAATTGTATTAGAGAATATTGTCTGAGATGTGATGCCATGCAGTCTGATACGTTTGCCAGTGTTTCTGCAAAATGTGCTGTCCCATCATCGGGATAGGAGAGTAAGAATATGGAGTAAGTGATATGAGTATAGATAACTGGCGTAGGATATCAAAGTAAACCAGTTGGAGCAAGGAGGGGGATGTGGAATGTGAAACTGCTGTGAGTGGTGGGGCTGGCAGGAGAGACAGAAGGAATCTGGCTGCAGATGACCTCTTCAATATCATACTGAATAGGTTAATAAGATAGTTACTAGCAGACGAGGGGAGTGTATGTACTGACTCTCCTACCGAGAAGATGGGTGTAGCATGTTTCTTACAATTATTGATATTTGAGGTGTCTGTCATCATAAATACAAATATCTTAAAATCAGAATGGAGCATGTTCCTCCTAAATGCTGGTTACTTCTTACACAGCATCACATCAGCAAAAAACCAGTATCTTCATATGACAGAGTTATTGAAATACAGAGAGTACCGTCTTCCAGGATATAACTCTGTGTAGTTCTGTTATATTTTAGCGTCCTGTTGCACTGATTTAAGTCCATGATTTATTTCAACTGTCTTCCAGTGCATACACTCATCTATCTTACTCCTCTCTCTCGCACTACATGTTTCGGCACACATACCCAGCAGTATAACACACGCAGTCACAGGAGCAAGACACAACACAGAGCACAGTACACACACGAAAGTAGAAAGAGTGCTCCAACAGAAGAGGATAGGTGTGACTCGCATAGTGAGATACGATGTAGGGATGAAAAATCCTGAACAATTTTAATATTTTTAATATTTATCAATATATATGATATATATTTTAGTTATTTTAATATGAAGTCGGCAAGGCATGCAGTGAACTAGTTTATCGTAAATCGAATAAGCACCTGAAGATGGCACTTTTGTGCCAAAACATGTAGGGCGAGAGAGAGGAGTAAGATAGATGAGTGTATGCACTGGAAGACGGTTGAAATAAATCATGGACTGTGTAGTTCATTGAAAGTCAACCTAACTTGACTTTCAGCCGGCTACACGGCGTTATATCCAAGAAAGTACTTTTCATAATTACCAGTGTGAGAACCTCAAATCCTACATTATCAGCACTTTTGTATATTGGGCACAGAGGTCTATATTGTATTGTTCATATTTTATGGAACAGTCTCACAGTTTCAAAACAGGTTTAAATGTGAAATTATTTAAGATACATCCTCACGTCATTGTGTTCCTTACAGTGCTACTTACCATGGCTACATGTGAACGCTCCTGATATGAAGAATGGTGGATGATCTACACGTAGAAGCAACTGAAAATATCATTTTGAAATGTGTCGCTACATCCTCACAAGAGGGAGTTTTAAAAAACTGATACATGTTTTGGAGCAAACAGAAAATGAAGTGGACAAAAATTTATGCATTTTGAATCATAAGTAGCTGCACTGAATATGGTTTGTTGAGAGCTGTGTGCTGGGTGCCCTGTATTGTAGTTATTTTGTATAGTCATTCGATGTGAGTTTTAAAATGACTATGAAAATTTAATTTTTGTTGTGTGATATTTTCTTTTCAAAATTTAAAGTAGCTCCACTTTTAATTTTACCTCCCTTTTTTAAAAGTATAAGATATGCATTGAGATACATGAGCAGTTAATTATATATTTACTGTATATATCAACTACTGTAAATGCATAGTGATGTTAGGATAATGGGCACCCTCCATATTTTGAAGTATTCCATATAATGGTCATTGCTACCTGAAACAAATATGTGTACAGTGCGCCCCTGTGTTACAGATGTTCGGATTGTGGAATTTTGACCTTACGGAAATTACAAAACATGACTTGAATTCATGACATGAGCCATAAATTCATCCTCATGGAAATATGGGATAAATATTAAAATTTGTAACATGAAATGCAAAATAAATCTAGCCAAAGCATTTTTTAAATAGAAATTGAGGCATATGTTAGCAATGTAACACAGTATGTAGCTAAACACTGGTTAGCTTGTGTGCATCAGTGACGTAGAAGGATGGCTGCTGTTCCCAATTTATTTTAGACTATGCAGTGCATTATATCATATAAGATGTTTAGAAAGAAGCTGTCAAGGACACCTAAAAGAACATGGAAAAGTGTACCTACTATTATTTCTGATGGTTAAATGAAAATATGCTTTTATTACCACTGCGGACCAAATAATTCTGTAGGAATACATCTCCACATTTTTTTCCCCCCTTCCATGGGTTCTTTAATGTTTTCAGACTAGAATTTCAGATCTCCACTCATAATATGGATGTGTTATGTACACACATTCAAGTGCACATCCCTTCTGTAATGTAGGGGCATGCTGTATTCTATACCAGATTATATATTGTTAAAAAAATGTTTTATTTATATGCATTAATTTTTATGTGCAATAAATAACAGGTATCTTCAAAATTCAGTACGAGAAAGTAAATTTTGAAGCTTTTGTTACTTGAGTTAAGTTGTTTTTAATGATTTGGTTTTGTATGTGGAGATTTTGTTTGCAATTAATGAAAAAACATTTATGACATGAAGCTGAATTAAAAGTTTTTTCCGCCCCCTCCTAATTTATAAATGCATAATATTTCAAGTGATGGACCTTCCATTTTGTGTTGACATTTTAGTTCAAAATTATTTGCTGCTTGGAAAGGTATGTTGAGAAGATATGTTATAATCTTTAGGCCATCGGTCTCAGAAGTTCACATTTTAAGTTTGTCCATTTATTATTTTATATTATTATTAACAGTTTTATTTATTAGCCAGGAAGAATAGATTAACACCATTCCAGCACAATTGTAATAACTATCTTCATTAAATGGCTTATTGACATGTTATGTTTCCATGGTATTTCACAATATATACAACAGTAACGAAGGATAAAAAGAATATTTCTGGGAATTTGTCCAGCCCAACTTGATATTATTTCATTATGTTGTTTCTCTGTGCATATGATTTTTCCTAGATTAGTAGACTCTTTATAGATCTAAGAAGGTAAACAGAATTTGTGTGTTAAGCCATGTAGATATGTGTAAACAGCAAATTTCAAATTTCTTTATACATGCACCATATAGACTCGTGTAAAGTACAAAACAACAGGTCTTGTAGTACTCCAGCTAGTTGACAATTATTTGTGTTTGTATATTTTTATTTTAGTACAATTTAAGATATTTCACAAAGCAAATATCTGTGTACCAAGTTGAAAGTAGTAGTTCTTTACCAGTACTGGTGATTTATTTTTTAACATTCAGCAAGGAACACTTTCATGATCTTCAAATAAATATTTTTTAACATCTTTCAAGTCTTAGAGTCTACATTACTTGTTTATTTTCAGCATTGGGTAAATAGATTAGAAGCTTATATCACACTTCACAAGTTTATTGTGTTGTTGCTGTTGCTGGAGCTTGGATAGCTCATTTGGTATAGTGATGAGCAGGGCCCGGATTTTGATGACCTGAAAATATTTAAAAAAATGACCGACAAAATCCAGAAAATGACCTAAAGGAGAAAGAGAAGGAACACTTCGCTTCCATATTATTCACATTTCAGAAAACATAAGAAAAATCCCCTAAAATGGCCAAAGATGACAAGAAATACCCTTAAAAGTCCAAATATTTACCAAAAAATACCCCCAAAATGAAAAAACGACCTTAAACCTAAAAATGACAAAAAAAAATACCTATAAAATTTACATTTCTGTAACCAGCAGCTCATATCCAAGATGTATATATTTAAGAGCATCGCATAGTATACAAGGGAAAAAAGATGACCTGTCATCAAAATCCGGGCCCTGGTGATGAGCTATGGGATGGCTGGCTGGGGGTTCTATTCTTGACAGAAACAAGAGATTCTTCTGTACTCCGCAGTGTCCCACCTGGCTCTGGTGCCCACGTAGACTGCTGTCCAGTGGGTCCCAGGGGTAAAGCAGCTGGTGCATGAAGCTGACAACTCACCTACATCTAGTGCCAAGGTCAAGAATGGTGGAGCTATACCTGCATTACCCTTAAGTCATCATGGTGTGGTGTTTTAAGTATTTAAGCAGGGTGATAATTTTACATTACTACTGCTACTACAATTTAAACCATATTACAGGGGATCTTGTCCATAAGGCTCATCATATAATAGCTTAAGGAAAACACATTTGAATGAGTGAAGTGCAACATTAGTGTCTTCTAAAAGATGTGTCATGCCAGGAATGGTGATCTTCTGTAGGTCTGTGCTGTGGTTTTTTATTTTTCCCCCCCCCCCCATTGCTAGTGGGGTGGGACTAAGTCCCTTGTACTGCGGCCACTTCTGGCCTATTGTACCAGCCCCAGATGATAGGTGAGGGTGATTGTGGAGCAATTGGTGGAATGAAGATTGGCAGGGGAAACCGAAGTACTCGGAGAAAAGCTGCCGCAGCGCCACTTTGTCCACCAGAAATCCCACTTGACCACACTCCGGTTCAAACCCGGGTCGCTGCAGTGGGAAGCCAGCAACAAACCGCTTGAGCTATGGCACGGCCCTGTGCTGTGGTTACTCTTATTGTTGTTCCCAAAGGAAAGAGGATGCAAAGTTATGGACTGGGCTCATCTAACTCAAGATGGGATCAGTAGTGGACTGTTCCGAACATGATGAACCTTCAGATTCCATAAAATTATGGGAATTTAACTAACCGAACTGTTAGTTTCTGAATGTCTTCACTCCATAGAGTTACCGTTATGGGTAACTTTTACAGCAAGTAAAAGAAAAATTGTCCACTGTGCCATGAAGAAGTGCAGGAGAGTGGATGTATAGAAGTTGTAAATTTCATTTATGACTCAGATGTTTTCCATTTTCTCTTTTATGACTGCATGATTCAAAAGGAAAGAGGAAATATTTGTGTGACAAATGTAATGCTTTATTTTATGTGACAAAATTTTCAGTCTTTGATTTGGAAAAGAGAGATGTCTCATCAGAGACCTGTGTCTCCAGCATCGTGGAATTATGTACCAGTCAACACTGATGGTCTCTCTCTCTCTCACACACACACACAAACCCCACCCCCCACCACTGAGGTCCACCTCAGCTACTACTGACACCCCACACCCTCTTTGTATGTCAAACGTTGTCCTTGAAGGTTGAACCTTGATATGTGTTAGTAGAAGTGAATACAAAAAATAATCAGTGATACATAATCACTATATACTATTTATAATTGCCAGTTAATTATTTGGTGGGGAATGGGATGGATTTTACAAAGCAGTCAGTAGCTAAACTGTATGGTGTCAAATGGTGGGATGATGAGTGAAGAATTGGAAGGAAGTAGGCATGGTCTAATCAAGACCTGCCTGAAGGGGCTGAAGAGACCCTGAGAAACCTGCCAGGATAGCTGGCATCCTGGCTATGTTATAGACAGAGCACCTCTCAAACATGAGACATCATGCCAGCCAATTCAGTGTGTTAATCACTGTTTAACCAATCCATCATTCTCTGATAATGGAGACAGAAGATTTCTGAAACACTGGACTTCAGAGTTGATGTAGCTGTTCACCTACTTCTGAACTGACACAGCTGTTTGCCTACCCCTGAATTGACACAGGTCACCTACTGCTGAATTTACACAGTTGCTCACCCGAGAAGATTTTATTTCAGTTGTACAGAACAGCATACTAATGATTACTAATTCTCTAATGTTACATTTGGGTTTAGTTAGGATAAATCTGTTGCCATCACTCTTACAGTTAATTGGCAAGTTGAAAAGTGCACAGTTTGTTTCCACACTTGCAATGCAGTTGGACTACGTGGAGTTTCCACTGGTCATACTGAGCATGCATGAAGTGCTGGAAGGCCACTTGTAACTGAGGGAGTACATCCCTCTCAATCTGCTCAACATAATTACCAACACACCATGCTATACTCATGTGAAATGATGGTTCCTGAAAGAAAAATCATGAATTAATATTTCTGTGAACTAAAACCCTCCAGTCTGGCAAGAGAATGTATTATGCCTTCTGAACATGTCCTTTCTCGTGACAAAAGAGTATTTCATATATCAAAGCCAAGGGAAATTGATACAACTTTCTCTATGTGGCCTACCCTCTTACCGAGACAGCAATTCCTCCAGAACCCAGGTAAAAATCTACCAGACTACATAACATCACATCACAGACCATAGTGCTCTCCATGGAAGGGTAAGCTAAGAGTTCCACTTTTACCTTGCTCTTTGGAATTTGTGTTCAGCTTCACGAGGCACCACCACATTATCATGTCCTTAGTGTTTATAAAGTTGGGGTCTTAATCTCAGACCCAACACTCAGCTGATTACGTATAGGGGATGAATCGTAATCCATATAACAGAGTTCGTATAAATATCCAAAACTAAATAATATACGTTGAATATTCAAGAAGGATGGAAAATTCCCACATCCCAAAAATATGTTATAATTTCTCAAAGGAAGGCGGGCTTGAGCATATAAAATTGAGGGGTCAGTTTTAACTTTTAAGCGGTACTGTTACAAAAATTTGCAGCTTTAATGGGTGAAATAATACAAGATAGGAAGGTGGTTGATACAATGGAACCCCCAACTTAACTGTTTCTCAGTTTTAAGGTTTTCTGTCATTTAACATTAAATTTCAGTGATCTGAGTCAACAGTCTAGGTATTGCATTTCTACCGTGATTTTCCTCAATTTAGTGTTCATACCCATTGCTCCCAAAGAAACTTTCAACAGGATTTCTCTGTATATGTGTAAAAGGAAAAGAAACTTTGTTACCTTATAGAATGGAGGAAGCCTGAAATCTGCAAGACACTTGTTCAGTACGTTAACCACTGCAATTAATGACTTATGACCAGCAGCAACAGTTAATCCAATGAAGGTGCGTGTTTTCTCTTCATTACAGTACACCCCAACAGAGTCAAAACTGAGTGAAAAGCTGAAAAAATACTTAAGTTATATTTGGAACAATATTTCAGATTCAAGTAGCATTTTTAACTACTGCAATTTTATATGAGACTAAGGTTTTCAAGGAACTGGGTGTCAGCATTCCCCACTCACTACTGAATTACACAGTGTCAGTGTCACTGCCCAGTAGGATCCTTTCGCCCTATTACATGTGATAGAAGCAGATCCAGCTTGCTCAGTTGGCTGGGAGTTGGAGTTTCTTAGTCTTTCACAAGTTGCGCTGCAATCGTGTCACTGTTTTCTCAGTTTGCACTACTCAATTCAATTCCATGTGTTGAACTCAGCCTGATAACACTTCTCAGAAATTGCAGTTGCTAGTTTCCTCAGTGTGCCCTTGTCCTAACACATGAAGACCTCAAATTTCACATTCATTAATTATAATTTATTATAAATTATAGTGTCAAATGTCATGAATTTGGAAGTACACAGAAAACCAGTGCTGTGGTCTGTTTAAAAAAAAAAATCCTGGCATTTGCCTGGAAGGACAGGAACAGATCAAGAAAAACTGTCTAAGAGGATAACTGATATCCAGGTTGAGACTCAGAAAATTAAAGGAGCTAATCAGACACATTAATAAAATGATACATTGCTATTTTAATTGCAGTAAAACACATTAATATAGCAAGATCAGACCTTGGAAGTTCCTTGATACACAGTCGTACTGACTCAAAGAAAGAGTCAATCCAGTGATGCCTTAACACAACTGTTCGGGTTAAACTGATGTGGTGTTCATCGACAGGTTTGAGAACTACTGTCGTCTTACAGCACTCAAGCACAACGTCAACAAATGAGCTGACAGCTGGACCAGGCTCGACTGAAATTGAAATGATATACGGAAACTCACAAAAAATAGTAAAATCAATATATGAAGGTATTATTGTAGCCAAGTGAATTGGTGTTGTTTCTTCTCTCTGGTATATGTAAATTAATGTTAATTCTGATACAGAAACCTTATGTTCACTATATCTCTCCCTATATTCCTTCACTTTAGGAAAACTATAACCCTAATAAACAAAGAAATGAAAGCTTACATACGATCTATGTACTGTGATAACATGCAAAATACTTTCTCAAGGGTCAGGTATGTCATGTCTCAGAAATGCGAGAAAATTTGAACTAAGCATTCAGCTATAGGGATGGGAGTGAAAGAAATGCAAAAGCTTAAACAATCAACTTTGTTTACAATATTAAAACAGAAGAGAACGTAGACTGCTCTGTTGTTCTGCACAACATGGCTTCATATGTACAGACAAATTGTGTGGGATAAAAATCCATCGTGGTAACTTTACTACAATCTTGGTATATCTAGATATTGTACTGATTTTCGGAGTGGCTCTGTAAACTGCACTTTAACCTACAAGGGATGTAAACATATGTTGACCAGTTCCCTCTCTCATGTGGAAATGAACGAATACGTCCATCATGTTCCACTGGATTGTCCACTTTATTCTTGGATGATGGAATGAATGACATCAGCGGTGATGGAAGTGGTAATCTGCAAACATCGCAGATATTCACAATTGGTGTATCTCAATTTATTTATCTGAATTATAACAATAATACTAGTAAGAAATATAATTTATTTCTATAAACAGTATTTAGAGGTTATGAGAGAATTTAGCCCTGGTTCCTTACTTCTCTTCATCACCATCACTTGACATCTTTTTACTAGGATTCTGATCAGGCCAGTCTTTTGATGCCTGTCTTTTTGTGGAAACTTTAGGTCCTGGAATTTCTTCATCGCTGCTTCCGTCACTTAAATAAGCACCTAATAAAGCCAAGGAACTGTTTGAGCAATCCGCCATTTTTCTAAGTGTGTACCAACTGTAGTATCCATAGTACCAATACAGAAATGGAAGCTGGTAAAATTGTTTCGGCCTTGTTTCAAAAGTTGCGGTGAAAGAAACTAGAAGTATACAATTTTGAGTGATGATACAGAAGCTAGTAAGTTTTACTTTCACTCGTTTTATATTTCTATCTCCTCTTTTATATAAAATTCAATATGTTTTCTTGGGGGGGATATTCGTATAATATAGTAGTGACAGATGATTAAAAGGTATTTGCAACCGTTTGCAACATTGCGGTGTATCTATCCACTAGCATTTGTTATCAAGAGTTTGTAGTGTTGGGTAAAATGGAGGAAGGTTTCGTGTTGATGGAAGGTTGAAATTTTATGGTGTGGGTTATTGTGAACCCAGAACCACTACCAAACTGTGAAAACAGTTAATTTGTAATGGAGTATATTCCTCTTACAAAGTAAGGTTCTTTACATGTCATGGATCGTGTTACCATGATGTTAAATCTTATTATCTTGTAATACTCTCATAAAAGCATTGTTGCACTGTATTAGACCTCATTGAATGTGTTCTTTTTTTCTCTTTATGCATTGTTTTATTTGCAGATTGATAGAGCGTATTCAGCAGTTGAGAAGTTACTCAGCATATTCCTACAGAACCAAAGATAAGCAGACACATCCTACTAGTCCTAAATAATAAATTATAATTTTAGTTACTGAACATAGGACTATACTGCTCTGAAACCGAAATGTTCAACTAAAGTTCCCATATACCAAAACATGAAACAGTTTAGTTTTACCTACAGAATGTAATTATTATAAAGCTTTTCATGAATTTAATATGAAGTGAAGTACAATACTTTAGTAGTTCACATATCTAGTCAAGTAATGTGCCACAGAAAGTAACAACCCACCTCCAAGACCAAAGACACATTTCATGTTGTAAATGCTGAGCATGTATTGAAATGTTTCACCATAAGTATGAAAGAGAAATAAACATGGAACTTATAACATTAAATATCAAACATTCTAAGATATACATATGGAAGTTATATATACACAGAGTTCATTAGGTTTGTTCTCATGTTTTTATGTAAGATAATTATACCACAGTAAATGTTAAAAAAGATGTGTTCACGTTTTAACATGAACCAAAGATCTTGCCATATTTAGAACATGTTAGTGCTTGTAGCTTGTAACTTTTATTACTGACCAAAGCTGTAGTTAGAAGTAAGTCCCCAAGGCTTTAGACTTGAGTTTAGGGTCAAGAGGGTCATAGTTAAAATGAAGAAATGACTAGTGCATCAAATGTAAAAGAGAAACGCCACCGGTGTGAAACCTGCAGCAAGGCTTTTGGTACAAGTGCCGATCTTACAAAACATAGACGTGTACATACTGGGGAGAGACCATATTCATGTGCAGACTGTGGGGCAGCCTTCAGTCAGGCCGGTGGGCTCCGCACCCACATCTTGAGTCGCCATAACAGTGATGGTCCAACCTTCCATTGTTTTCATTGTGGCAAGACATTTCCTGTGAAGGAGCGGCTGAGACTGCATTTACGTACGCACACCGGCGAACGTCCTTATTCCTGTGGCCTTTGCAACAAAACCTTCGCTCGTGTTGGGCAGCTTGCGCAGCATTCACAAACTCACTCTGGAGCACGTCCTCATCGCTGTGATCAGTGTCCAGCTGCGTATTCATGTGCAACCAATCTTAAGACTCATCTCAAGCGTCATTTGGGGCAGCGAGATCACGTGTGCCATGAGTGTGGGAAAACCTTTGCACGGCGTGATGGCCTACAAAAGCACCTTGCTTGTCTCCATGGAAACTTGAGGTCTTTCCATTGCAATGTATGTCGCAAGGATCTCAAAGGACACCTTTTGCAGCACCTGCGAACCCATTTACGTGAGAAGCCTCATGCATGTCCAGATTGCAAGGCCAGATTTGCCCAACGTTCACAGTTGACCGTGCATCAGCGTACTCATTCGGGTGACAAGCCATACAGGTGTCCTGTGTGCCGTCAGGCATTCTCTCACTCCACGGCACTTAAACTACACTTGCGCCGTCACACGGGTGAGAAACCATTCCGCTGCCCTCTTTGCCCCTCCACCGGATTTGTCCAGTTGCCACACCTGAAGAAACACATGCGTTGCATCCATAAGACTGACAAGCCCTACCTCTGTCTTGGCTGTCGTAGTTTCTTCAAGACTAAGAATGATCTGGACAACCATGAACAGAATTCTCTGAAATGTCTAGAAGCCCGTTCCTCCAATGCAAAAACAGAGTCTGCCTCCAAGGATGCTGATGCCACACCTGTCGATCCAGTCATGCCCGTTAATCGAATGCGCGTACTTCTAGCTGTATTGCTGAAACGAATATCTACCCCAGCACGCCTTGATGCTTTGGGATTTGGTAGACGACTAATTGATGACGTTCTGTGTGAGTCTATAGAGAGCTCAGGTCGTAAAGCGTGCATGGATCTCACAGATGAAGGTGAACGTTTACGAAAGAATGTTGAAATCCTCCTAGATTGGACAGTACCCAAGCAGTATATGGAGAGGTTTCGACGGGAAAGTCGTTCGACGGAGGAGTTACTGGAGGAGCTGACATCATGACACATCTCCCTTGTTATTCATGAACATTGCCTTCATTTCATCTTCAGCCTTGATCACTGGAAGTGGTGATCATATCACTAAAATTGGGCCATTATAACATTATGAGAGTGTTTCTGTATCATTATTCTTTCATACCATCACTGAACGTGTTACCTCACCCTGTAAAGTTCATGAAATCCTGTTCTTGCACATTCTATAGCAATGGTTCCCAATGAGGAGGCATGACCCCCCCCTGGGAGAGCATGAGGGAATTTGGGAGGGGGGAGGTGTTGTGGACACTAGTAAAAATTGATTCTTGGTGTCAGATTCAACTGAAATAATTGTTTCCAGCTGCATTTAATAATTCTGTAAGCACTAATTCCCATTCCACTAGTTCCTCCATATCGTCCAGGGCTGGTGCAGTAGGCCCAATGGTGGCCAACATACCAAGTGGACCCAGTCCTTACCCCACCCTACAAATAAAAGAAGAAAATTAAGCAGAATTGTTAACACAGCTGTTTCAAAAATATAATGGTTATATTTCAACATCTGTCAGCATTATTCATCACCAAATAAAGAGATATATGCTACGTGTACATTTTCATTTTAAAAATTCTTGGTGTGTTACTAATTACAAGTTAGGTGGTCATAAATAGTGGTATAAATACAAGGGTTGGAAATTTAATAGTGACAACTATTTATTTACAAATAATACAAAATAAATACATGTTTCGAAGTTTTACTGTCCTTCAGTGTAGTCACTAGTATTGTGTACAACCCGTTGTCAGCAATGTGGAAGTCGTAGGATACCTTTAGCAGCAACTGTTGTGTTGATAGTTCAAATGGAGCAGTCTACTGCCTGAAGAATCTCTGGAACAATTCTGAAGCGAATGCCACGAAGTGGTTCCTTCTTCTTAGGAATCAAGTCGAAGTCACAAGGGCTTAAGTCCAGGGAGTATGGTGGATGGTACAGCACTTCCCAGCCCCATCGATCAAACAAATTAGCCATGGCTTGCGCTGCATGCGGCCAAGGATTGTCCTGCAGACTGATGGGTGGGTTCTGCAGAAAGTGTCACTGCTTCTTTCTCAGAGCTGGTCGCAGGTTGTGTTCCAAAAATGAACAGTAATACTGCGCATTGACGGTCTTCTGTCAGGGAATGGTATGCGTTAGGATAAGAACATCAGTGCTGTGAGAAGGGAGAGTCCATTTGCTCTGAGGTAAGATAGGTATGTAACTTACGTGTGGTATAAGCGACATTATTTGGTGCCATTGCATGGCGTCTCTACAGCAGTGTTGCCACTATTAAAGTTCCAACCCTCGTACAAGTGCAAAGGGTTATGTTTATTTCAGTAAGAACTTGGGAGGGTAGGGTATGAAGGTTTGGTGGAAACCAGGTGGAGGAGCATGTCAGTAAATTTGGGAGCCATAGTTCTATAGGATCCTAATAACCCCGCTTTTTACTCCTCACAACTTAGCTATAGATAATTACTACTTTAAGTAATTTTTTGTAATGTTGCTTGCTTCTTAAAGAAACTTTAATTTTTAATTAGATCTTACATCAAAGTGTAGAGTTGGTTTTGCTAATTGTGTATACAAGCATTTTCGGCATGGGTTAAAAATATATTTTTCCTTCTGCAGCCAAGCAAAGAGTAACCCGAGTGGTATGATTTTATACTTGTTGCTAAATGATTCTTTGAATTTGGTGATGGCTTGAGGTAGCTGGATACCATTCTTGTATTCCTTTGTGATCCAGTATTCCCAGTCTATATGCACTGATGTGTTATGTATTGTTGACTACAGGAAGGCAAAGATTGAATGATAATATTTTGATGTTATCATATTTACATTCATTGTGAAGGAGCAATTTAAATATAATATGGAACTGGAATGACTTTGGAAAACATAGTGAATATTTTTGTTAGTTGATCAGCATATTATAGACTTTTATTTACTTACATATTTGTTTATATATACATATATATATAATTTCATATACAAATTGAATAAGAGAAATTAAAATGTGAATGTTTCGCATTATTTTGGTATAGGAAGGAATATGTATAAACATATTTGTTTATTCATGTGTTCATGGACTTGTGTAATGTTTCTGTGTCTTGGTAAATTTATTGTTGAAGAAATTCATACATAACATTTTAAGCTTCAGGACTAATAAATATAATAAAATCTTCTTGGGCAGTGAGTCACCTTATGCTTGAACTAAAAACTGAAATTTTGAAAGCAGAAAGTTCTTTATCTGAACCACAACATCTCTGATCACCCAAGAAGATTTTAGTAAAGAAGTTAATGTAATTTCCAGCAGTTGAAACGCCTCCATGAGTCCATTTAGTATGCCTGGTGCTGTGTGTAAATTCACGGTACTGCTGGAAAATGTAAAAACTTTTTAAAAATAATTTTAATTTATAGATGGCAGTTACAACACTGTGGTGCTTTCATATTTGTTTTTTATGCAGTTTGTGTTTTTTTATAAATTTTGCCAAGTTCTGTATGTAAATGTTTGAAACACTTCAGACTGGCATAATTAACGTACATCCTTTTTTATTGATTATTACCGATTTCTTCAGAATTCTGCCAAATTTTTATGTCCATATTTAGAGCACCATTGAAAATAGTCCCATCATATTCAGTTCAATAATTGATTGCAATGTGTGAATATATTTCTTCTTCCTTAGGCATGAGAACCTACACAATGTAAGCATCTCTCTGCACTTTTCTCTTCCTTTATTATAACCAAGGTATGAAAGTATCCTCCCACATAACATTTACACATTTAATAATTGTTCTTACGTACAGTTTTGGCCCCTTGTTGTGGCAAAGTTCTGTCACTAGTTGTCTAGACTGTAAATGAATAGCCAGCCCCCCAAAAAGCTTTTCTTATATTGCTGGACATGATTAAACCCAATATGAGGAGGTTTTATAGAAGGACGTAAGTTTGTGATAACTTCAACAGCTGTACAGAAATCCATGCAATCTTTTGTACTGTGTTTGCCAAGTCTCATTTTGAGATTTGAGGTTCTTGCAGCAGTGATTGTGGAGAACACTATCTTCTGGGATATGACATCGTGTAGTCTGGTAGATAATTCTTCAAAGTGTTGGTAGCAGTCCATCAGACTACACAGATGCTGACCGAGGTTTTTGTGATTTTCACCAGCTAAATTCCAGGATAGTACCTCGAATTAAACCACGCTGACTCCTGTCAGATGTGTTCCAACTCATTATTTGTTAATGATCCCATCATTTCATGATGCATCATGAAAGTATCATTAAATAAGCTGTCAGTATCTTTAATATGTTTACATCATATCATAGAAGACAGTAAAGTTTATAGTAACTGCCATTAGATGGCCGCGCCATAGCTCAAGCGGTTAGTCACTGGCTTCCCACCGCGGCGGCCCGGGTTCAATCCCAGGTCTGGTCAAGTGGGATTTGTGGTGGATCAAGTGGCGCTGGGGCAGGTTTTCTCTGAGTACTTCGGTTTCCCCTGTCAATCTTCATTCCACCAGTTGCTCCACAATCACCCTCACCTATCATCTGGGGCTGGTACAATAGGCCAGAAGTGGCCGCAGTACAAGGGACTTAGTCCCACCCCACTAGCAGCAATAAAAAAAAAGCCATTGGAACCTGAGATCTCACAATTCTGCTTTGTTAACATGGTTTTGCATGTGACACTTAAGTTTCTTGTGGTGGCAGCTGTTGAAATTAGCAGAATTTTGGACGTGATATTGTGTAGTCTGGTAGATCGTCTTCCACAGCCTACCAGATTTCATGGATACCTCATAATACTATAAAGATTTGAACATTTGCACATGATCCCTTCCAAATTTTTCACATATTTGACTAATTTGCTGTAAATTTATGAACAGTTTTCTTTATTTCCTACTTAAGCGTGGAAATGCAATGACTACTGAAACCTCCATGTGAAGACTTTTTTATGATCTTCTCAGTTGCTGAAATTACAGGCTGAATTGAACAACTGACATATAGAAGTTGCCACAGCAGAACTTATGTTAGAGTTTGTGTTTTGAAGTCATTTAATTAGGCTGATTATTAGGTGACTTGTCTTAATCCATATTTTATATGTTATAAGGTTATAAGTATATAATTATTACTTAATATTTCTTAATTTTGGATATAATTTCCCACCATTAACAGAGATGAAGTGTTGATAAAATATAAATTAATCAAAATTCATTAGCATAACTTCTGATTTTGTTTTTGTTTAGCTGTGTATATTATTAGCAGTTGAAATCATAAAGTTATCCTTGTGTGCATTATTACATAAGAGATTAGAGTCAGAAATTTACTATCTGTTTTGTTTTTAACTTGGGCCACTCAAATATCAGAACACACATCCACTGTGTAGTCCTAAGTTTGGTTGCTATCACGTGCTTTATTTCTATTCATAAATCTTTTAAACTATTTTCATTGTACATGGTTACAGATATATTTCTATATCCAGTTTAAACATCACAGTATGAACCTATCTGAGATCAATTTTACTTACTGTCTTCTTCTAATATAAAGTAAATATGAAAATAAGGTAACATTCTTAAACTGTAGTATCATCTCATATGACAAGTTACAATAAGAAGACAAGGGGCCATTATAGGTTAAATCGGTACTAGAATTTATACGTATAAGTGTACATGATCATGTATACATGATAAATTACCTGCAATGGTAACAGTTTCTAGATTGTTTAGAGCAGTGTTTTTCAACCCAGACTGTACTGCAGACTGGTAAAGTATCTAAATTTTCTAATGGACCACTAAAATGATACAGGCATGGATATATTTTAATTCCAAAGGAAATTAAGTAGGAAGCTTAAGAAGTGATTTTTAAATTGGGTAAAAGTTTTATGGGCCAGTAAAAATTAGTCCTGCCTGGCAGTTGAAAAACACTGGTGTTTGAGTACTGTTGTACATAGTTATGAATATATTTTTAGTTTGGAGACGACAAGGATCTGGTGTATGTGCACTGAGCATGTTGCTTTCTGTCATTTATACTTGGTGTTGGGTGAATTCTTCTGGGGCTGTTGGTGGAGGTGTCTTACTCTTTGCTTTGATATCATCTCAATCCACATAATGTTTAATACTACAGATTGTGTTAGGAACTGCAGTTTTAGAGGTATACTGTTTTACAGAAAAATACATTGCAGTGTTCAGTGAATTTGTATGCAGGGCTTCAGAAATACCACTCATATTTACTGACCCTGATGAAAATCCACTCACCCGTAATGTCTGGTACGTTTCACGTAAATACTTGCTTAGCCATAGTGAACTAACAACCAATATTTTCTCTGATACATGGTCAGCTGCTCTATCCAAACAATTGCTCTACATCTCTAAGTTTGCTTTGAAGATTGTGGTAATATTTCATGTTGACATCAACAGCTGGCAGCATTATGTCTTTTATTTTACCAAAGAATGAATTTTATTTGTCAATATACACCAAAGAAGATGCAGAAATAAGATACCTGCAAGAACAGGAACTTGATGGCATTTAAATATAGCTGTAAGGGTAGGGAAAGTGTCTTTTAGAGAGGTCTTCAAAGGGTTGAGCGCAGTATTGGATTAAAGAAAAACACAGTAGTCTCAGAATTTCAAGCTGGACTGAACTTGATGGTGTTACTATTATATAAGGTATTAAGCTTTCATGGTGACTAGATGCAATAAAATCTTCTTGGGCGATTAGTTGTATAAATTCTTCCATTAATGA